TCTTTTTCGTTTTTATCGGTACCAGGGATCGAATTCACAACTGCCTGCTTGCAAGGCAGGCGCTTATGCCGCTGAGCTAAATCCCCAGCCCCAAGGAGACGATTTCTATCACACATAATGGGTCCGGCGGGCTTGAGTTTTAAGAAGATAGCATATATACAGTTGCAGTACACAACAAAGCTCAATAAATGACATTTTTATCATGCACCTGGACTGATATGTGCCAAGTGCACAGGTGAATGTTTAGGTATTAGGTATTAGATTCAGGTATTAGGGATAGTTTTCCTTTACCACAATTAATTGTGGCTAAAGTTATGGCATTAGATAGTTATCCATTGGCTCCTTAATATATACATGCAGCAGAGTGGAAATTGATCTAGCTCAGACCTTCTGAGATTCATGAATCAGTTTCGTTTTGCCCAAATGAGATTATTTGAGTGTAGCAATAAAGCAGAGGTAAAGGATGAGACAGTACTGACTCTGCTCAACTTCTTCACTTTCTCTGCCTCCAGGTGGACACTGGTCATTTCTTCTCTCTGACCTCCATTTCTGCCTGGTAAATGAGAGGCCTGGACCGCCCAGGGACTCTCTCTTGGTGCTGTGACAGCCAAGTGCACTGACAAGGACTGTCAGTGTGCACAGATCGCATTTCTCTTATACTGAAGTACAGATGTTGGGTGCTTAAGAGTTCATGCTGCCTGAGCAGATCTAAGCCATCAGTGAGCTCTGAGACCATGGGTGAGCCACTTAACCTGTCCATTCCTCAGTTCCTTTATCTTCAGAAATGAACAGTATTCATAGAGATGCTGCCGACACAGAATAAGTGAGGTTTTGTATATAGCTCCTGGAGCAGTGCCCAGTGGCACACAGTTGATGTGATTTGTCTTTAGTAGACATCACAGCCAGCCTTCTCATCACTGGCTCTTCAGAAATGTATCAGAGCAGGTTGACTCCGGGAAAGCCAATCCTAGAAGCCCCACTTCAAAGACTGGTCAGTTGGAGCCTTAAGTGATGTCCCACAGGGACCGCTAGACTTTTCCAGGGCTGAGGCCCAAATAATCAGGAAGAGGTGGGCAGCAGGTATGTCATCTCGTGTAAAATCCCAGTTCACATGTTAAAGTGACCATGTCAAAAGGACTGCCAACCCAGAACTTGTTCATCCCACACTTGGGGACCCCAAGATTTCCACATGCAGGGGCAAGGGAATTCTCAACTCTCGTGACTGTTCAGAAGAGTCCTTGTCCATCTGTGGTACAGGGGGACATATGAACACAACAGCCTGGAAAGTTGAAAGGTGAAGGCCATAATTCCAAAGATACTGTGTTTTTGCAAGTTTCCCACAAGGAGGGAACTTGTGGTTTGCACATGTTAGGCAAGAGTTATATCATGGAGCTATACGTCCAGCCCACAAGGGTACCACTTTTTAAAAAGAGACTCTCCTTTTATCCCACTGGGTAGTAGCAGGGTAAAATTTCCAAGGCAATGAAAATAATATCAATTTTACCCCAGGCCTTTTCTAACTTCCCTCCAGACCCACCAGGGCCACCTGGGGTCCAGCCTCCTCTCCCGTTTCTCATGAGAATTCCTTGGGAAACAGGAACCATCCTGAGAGCATACATAGCGCAGCGGGCAGGATGTTCTTGAATAATTTCTTCCTAGTGAGGAAAGGCTAGAGCCCTCCAGACTGCTGCGTTTGACAGACAATCTGTTTTCATTTCAAAATGTCCCCTAAGAAGAACAATCTGTTACACTCTGGCCAACACACTTTGATGGAAATGAAATGATGAAATCTGAACCAAACGTCACACTCTGCGTCTCGGGATTTCACGAAGGACAGAGTAGATGCAGTGGGGCAGGGACACCCAGGAGCTTGCTGCTGGCAGATTAGCCCCAAAGCCGCCGTTAGTGCATTGTGTGGAAATGATAGATACGGATGCCCTCCCCATGTATGTGATTCACATCGGAAAGAATCACCCAGGCTGGAAAAAAGATTGCTCACAGCCGGCATGGAACGTTCCCCATCCGCCGGGCTTCAAGTCTGCTGAAGCATATGTTTAGGGAAGGAAATAGAGCAAAGCCAAATTTGCCAGCCGAGTGGAAGAGGTGAAGGGGGTTCTTCCGGCCCCAGGGCATCCGGAGCTGGCTGCTCTCTGGTTCCCACAACTGAGTCTGGGTTGGGGTGGGGGGATCTCTCCTCAGCATAGAGACAGGGTACCCTCAGAGTCAGGGTGGCCCCCAGAATGAGCTGCCGCTGCCCTCCAAAAACTCCAGTAAATCCAGCAAACTGTCTTTTGGTGAGTAGATCTGACTTCAAACCAGACCTGGAACATTCAAGGTCTTCCTGTGTTGAGGCTTCTAATGTCTCAAGATTTCCAGAGGGAAACAGAAACAGCTATCGTTTATAGAGAACTTCCTAAGAGAAGGCCAGGCATAAAGTTGATCTTTTGACACATTTTAAACATTAAATTCACAGGAAGCAGCTATGATTGGCCATTCACAAATGTGGACATTGAGGCTGATTTTGCTTTTAAAGGCAAACAAAAACCCTAGGCAGGTAAACCCTGTACTGGGTGCAGCCCTCTGAGACCTGGATGTCTTGTATTTTATTTTGAAAAAACCAGGTGAAAACATTCCTTCTTGGAATGTGTCTTCTATGGAAACAAGCCCCAAAAGAGTAGAGATGTCAGCTTTCAAGCATGGGGAGGCCCCGACTCCCAGAGCAAGTGTCAGGCACACTCGGTCTGCAGCAGAGGCAGGTCTGTCCTGGCCCCTCCTCTTCTTTTTTTTTTTTTTTTTTTGGTGTTTTTCATTTTTCGTTTTTATCGGTATCAGGGATCGAACTCACGACTGCCTGCTTGCAAGGCAGGCGCTTATGCCGCTGAGCTAAATCCCCAGCCCCTCCCCACCTCTTGCACCTGCAGTGCCCCATGGTGCCTCACAGGCTTTCTCCCCTTCAGGAGGGGCTATAACTCCATCCTTCCTTATTTGCCTGCTTCTTGGGAATGCTATGGCTTGGGCTGTCTCTATCTCCCAGGGGATGGATGATTTATGTCCTTTTATTTGGCAGGCAGCTTTGTATAGCATGGGTATGACTCACTGTATGTCACCAGGCGGGGCTGGGGCTGGGGAGCCTTGAAAAATCTCAAAGAGCCCTTCTTCCGAACCTGGGTAAAATGGCTCTGGGAAGGTCACTGTGTAGGTTTCTCTAGGGGGAATAGGGAAGAGACAGCAGATCCTGAAAGGGTTCAGAGAGGTGGCTAAAGCCCCCTTCTAGCTATGCTTCCTCCCGCTTCTGCTTATCTTCCTGCACTTCCCCACAGTAGGCCCTTCCACTCTAACACAAACTAGGCAGCCATGAATGTGGGGGCGCAGGCTCCTTTCTGCGGGGCTGCATCAGTGTGCAGAATCATGGGCTCAGCTCTGCACTCAACCGGTCCCAATGCCAGGATGTCAGAGGAGGCCTCAGTCTCTTTGCTTTCTTCCTATGCTTCTTTCTCCTCCCTTTCATGGATGTCTGGGTGTGTGTTCCCTCACACCACGAGCCACTCCTGCTCTCGTACACCTGTAGGATACCCAGCCCAGCCTATTCTCAGCATTGCAGTAGGCACTCTGTGTTTGTCTAGTGAATAATAAATAGGTATCTCATTTTCCTCAGCACAGATCTGGTCGTAGGGTTTCTCTGAGATGCTCCAGGAGAATGACAAAGCCTGGCCTCAGTGTTTAGGCCAGATGATTCTCCATGACCACAACCAGTGAGTGACAAATGTACCAAGAAAGGACAGAGATTCACAGGACTGGGAGGGACTCTCAGGTCATACCGCCCAACCCTCTCATTTTACAGACAAGGAACTGAGGCCTAGACAGAAGTCATTCAATATGCAGACCCTAGAAGGAGGGCCAGGGGTCTAGCCCGTATCCAGCCATTGCTCCTGTGTCCTGCCCTTTCACTGGAAGAGGTCATGGCAGATCCAGCTTTACTCAGGAGTCTAGAGCCTCAACCTCAGGTTGAGTTCCACCCCTCTCAGCACAGGTCCCTGGTTCGAGTCTGTACCCTAACACCCACTCCCTGGTGAGCTTGCTCCTTGGCTGTCTTGGTCTCCCCCATACTCGGGTCTCCCAGGGAAGATGGCAATTAGTATTCCTTGTGCTGCTCAGCATGAACTCTGCTGGTAAGGAAATCCCCCAAAACAAAACAACAAAAAAACCTCAAAATGCTGTGTTTCCCACACACTAGATCAGTGTGGCTCTGGCAGAAACCGGCCACAGCGGGCTGGGACAACAGAAGAAAATACTATGAGCTTTGGGGAGAGCAGGGCCACTCTTGTCCCCAGAGCGGAGAGATGCAGGGTCACCTGGGGTGTGGGCAGCTGGAAAGAACAGTGAGTGGAATGGAAAGGGACAAAGGCATTAAATGTGGGCTGAGATGTGTCAAAGGGAGGGCGAGTGTACAAAGAGGAAAAATGCACTCCCTTTCTTCCTGTGTTCTTGTACCTGTGCCAGACTCCTGTATCACCCCCTCAGGGCACCCCACAGCAGGGTGGAGGTGAAGACAGGGAGGACAGAGGAGATGGGAAGGGAGGAACGTGGATGGGAAATGCTGAGGATTTATCAGTTTGATCCCCATCTCCAGGTACTCCACACTGCGCATCTGAGCAGCTTCCAGTCCCCACAGTGTCACAAGTAGGCACTCGGCATAGCTAACGCCTCCAGGGATTTGGAGGCCCTCCGCTAGGACCAGGCTTCCTACCTGCCCCAGACAGCCACTAATCCTCGAACTCAGAAATGTGACAGGGTCTGTCCTCTGTAGAGCTCAGTTTCTGCTGACCGCCAGGCAGTCTGTTCCCCAATACCCGCGGGAAGCCCAGCCCCTTTCTGAGAGGACAACTGGACCACTCTTCATACTAATTCTCCTTCCCCACTTCACAGGTGTGGAGCACAGAGCGCAGGGACTTGTCCTCTCGGTCACACAGAGCTAAAACTGCTCTGTGAAGAAGAGAGCTATGGGCTCCCACCCAGGGACCACGCCCGGGCAGAAGGAGCCCTGCCCCTCCCTCAGCAGGGGTGGATAGAAAAGGAAACACTTCTACTGACTGTCTCAGAGAGAAACGGGGTTGAGAAATGGGGAAGGGTCATTCCTAGATGGTAGGGACCTTTAGGTACACGGAAGTGAGCCCAGCTGGCCAAGGGGAAGAAAGGCCACTGGGCCGCTGGGCAGTGGCCAGCCTGAATGTCTGGGGCCGCCCCGAGGGGAGGGGGGCGGGTCCTGCCACTCTTGTGGAAGGAGCCAGCATGAAAGCAGTTTCATTTGCTGCAATTTTGTTGGTCAATTTATGAATTTATACCTTCAGTATAACCCTTTCTTTTTTCTTCATGTTTTGCCTCCACCAATGAGAAAATGGGGGTGGGGAGGTGGGAGAGCAGGGTTCTAGGGAGTGGAGAGGCCGGCCGGAGACAGTTGATTGGGACCTTGCACTGACACATCCTTCGACATCTTTGTCCTGGCTTGCGGCAGGGTGAACTTTTTGCTTCCTTTGATAGAAAGCATTCCTGCTGCCCGGAAAGCCGCCTGCCCCAGTACCTTTAATGAATGACGCTCAAGGGGAAGCCACGGCTCAGTCTGTTGGCGGGGATTGGCTAAAGACTACATCACTCTGACCCGCCCATTCCTGCAGCCAATCAGGAGGCTGTCAGGGAGGCAGCGACGAACTGGCGCGGGGACCTCGTTGAGACTTTGGAGGTCCTGGCTGAGATCTCGGGATCCCGGGCAGGTGGGGTAGGAAGGAGGGAGCTCGGGGCGCCCGGGGCGCGGGGCACTCACTCCAGCACGTCGCGGTTGAACTGCTTCTTGCTGTTGCCCAGGAACTCTCCGACCATCTGGCGGCTGAGGCCCTTGCGCTGGAGGAGGAAGTGCGCCACGCCAATGGGCGTGTCAGGGATGAAGCCGCGCGAGATCAGGAACTGGATGCCCTTGTCCGGGTTTCTGGGGAGGAGTGTGCGCGGGGAGAAGTAGTGATGAGCTGAGACCGTGTGGGACTTCTGTCCACCCTGTCTTCCAGCCTTGAAACCCATAAAAGAGCCTAGAGGTCCTTGGAAACCGAGTTCCCAGGACTCCTACCACGCTGACGCTCCCTGGAACCTCCGTCCACAGAGAATGGGCATGGGGCTGGGGTGGGAAAGGAAGAGGCTGGTGTAACAAAGAGGATTCCAGAGCAGGGGAGGAGGAGTGCCTTTCTCTGCCCCTGCCTTGCTCCCCCTAAGTCTTGCCTGAGGTCCCCAGCTCTACTGGGCCCTGCGCTCTGCCTGTGTCCTGAGGTCATTATCAGGTGCCCCTCTCCTGGAATTTGGAGAGACGGTGAGGAAAATGGACATGAACTTCCCTGCCATACACCCTCTTCTCTGGAGGACACAGGGATCCTGCCGCCCAGGGTCCCCTTCTCAGGCATGAGTTGGTGTGGATGTGGGGACTGAGTCCTACACCCTTGTACCCGTGTTTGCAAACCCATGCAGCTCCCTGAGTTGTATCTTACTGGGTCCAGAGAAGGTAGGGAAAGACATTCAGAGTGAGCATTGCATTCAGAATCTTTGAGAGCACTTTAATCTCTTGGGACAACCAAGCCTGTGACTTTTTCTTGCAAATCATTTTTATTGCAATACAAAAGCATCTGTTTACAACATATAGGGGGCGGGGCAAAGTGGCCTTTCCCCGGTGTGAGAATCTCTGTCTTGGAAGGATATGAATGTTGGTTTGAGTTTTCCTGTGCATGCAGGAGTGGTCCTGTGGATAGACTGGGGGTGGGCAGGTCTGAGGCTGTGCTCGCCCAGACAGCAGCCCTTGTGGGAAGAGGAGGCAGGCAGCTCTGGTTTCACCTAGGTCTGTCTTGTCCTAACGGTGTAACAGGGTGCAGTGTGCCTCACTCGTGTGAGCTGTTTCTGATTCTGTAAAACGACAGCAGGTGCTTTATCAGGGAGCTGTGCATGGTAGTGAGGGTCTGGAGGTCAGGGGCTGTGTCTTACTCGTGTTTGGGGTCACTGAGTCTGACAGCAAACAGCAGTTGAATGAGTAAATGAACCCACATGTAGGCAGGAGACATGTGGCACTCTGGGTCTGGAACTATGAAGGAAAAGGTGGATGTAGGGTGATGAGGTCTTAGGGACTCCACATTTTGGTGACAGGAGCATGCCTGTTTTTTCTGCTTTAGGCTGGCTGTACACATTTGGTTTGCAAGAAGAGGTCTGATTGAAGTCTGTGAAATAGATTTTTCTCCTTCCACCGCCCCAGTCTGTTTCTCTTCTGCCTCTGCTTTGTTCGCATTCCCTTCCTTGCCTCCTTTAACCCAGCTTCCTCTCTGCTCCTCCCTATGTACTTTATACCGTCTCTCCACTCTCTTCACCTCACCTCTTGTTTTTGCAGTCCCAGGACACATGATGTTTCCCTAACTTCATCTTGTACTTGAACAATTCTGGTTCTGTCTTCATGTGGCTTGTGCTGTTATTCACTCACCCCTGTATATTTTTTTCAGATTTCCCACCATCCAAACATTCATTTCATCTTCAACAGTAATGGTTGTGAAAACCTATGTTTGATATTATTTTCCCCTAATGCTTCTTAAGCCCATAATGGGTACTACAACCCATAAGTTGTACTTGTAAACATTATCTGTGGGATCAGGGGTGGCGGGACCGCTCTGGAATGGGGCGGTAAATTGCCTGATACCTTGTGCTGCAGGGAAGAGGTGCTCTGCGAATCCAAGCCCCTCCTTGCCCCCCTCCCTCAAGCCCTTCCCAGCACCCCCAGCCCCAGGCCAGAGCGCACTCACATGTTGAAGAGGTTGAGGCCGATGCGGTAGAGCCGCTTGCGCAGGGTGTCGGTAGAGAGCGTGGGCGACTTGCAGCTGGCCGGGTTTTCGCAGTGGTAGCGGGGCAGACTCAGGATCATGGCCTGCAGGGCCTCCTTGGATGCTGCGGCCGACACTTCAGAGCCGGACTTGGCCGATTTGGTGGATGTGCTGCTGCTGCTCAGCTGCTCAGAGTTCTCACCTGCCTCAGCCTCTGCCCTTTTCCCTGCCTCCCCAGCCTCCTCCTCTTCCTCTGCCTCAGCAGCCACAGCCTGCTCTACCAGTGCCTCTGCGGCCACTGGCTGGTGGGTGTCAGGGGCCTGGCCGGTCGCCACCTCTGCATCTGTGACCTCTGCAGGCGTGTCCTCCTGGCCCTTGGCAGGGACCTCCTTGGCCTCGCCCTGCTCACCTTTGCTGGGTGTGGGCTCAGCTGCAGCTTGAGCTGTCTGTACACCCAGGCAGTTGGCCACAGACAGAGCTGTGGAGGAGGAGACAGAGATGTTCTGGTTGGCAATCTGCACCGTGACGTCCCGGAAAGCCATCATGAGGGTGCTGCTATGGCCCTGGGGCAGGCCAGCAGACTCAGTGGTCTCATCCCCAGGTCCTGGGCCTGCGCCCTCAGGCTCCTGCATCTCGACCTCCAGACCAGGCTGTCCTGAGCCTGCATGCAGGGCCTGGTGGATCTGGTAAGCGCTGCCCTCCTGCAGGGAGCACATGGTCTTGAGGCTCCAGGTGCTGAGGGCATCGTCAATGGACTTGGCCAGGGACTGCACCTGCTCGGTGAAGGAGTCCTCCAGCTCGGTGAGTGTGCCCGCAAAGGTGGGTGGCAGGGAGGGCGAGCGTACCAGTGGCAGCCCCACGAGCCCGTAGCCTTCCATGAGTGCCTTTTCGGCTGCCAAGCTCTCGGCAGTGGGCGCCCGCACCTTGCGCAGGGAGATCCGCCGAGGCAGGCGGCTCTCTAGCAGCGAGTTGCGGATCTTTTCGAAGTTCTTGCTGAGCTGGTATTGGCGGAAAGCGGTTTGGATGGTGCAGGCAGCGCGGCGGGACACGACGTGGCCCCCGTATTTGTGTTCTAGCATTTCAATCTGCAGCAGGGACAGAGGAGGAAGATCTCTGTTAGGGAAGGATGTCACATGACCCCAGAGTGGGTTGGGTGTCAATGTCGGGAGCCACCTGGCCCACCTTTGGCGAGGACCCCTGGGGCTCACGTCTGATAATCCCTAGCATGTCGCGGCCTGGGATCCCAGGTCCTTGGCAAGGCTCTACAGGTGGACAGTCCCGTGCGTAATGATTTCCCAAGGGGGAGTGCAGAGGGAGGTTGTTGATGGTGCTCCCTTACAGCTGCTGGGGTGGTAATTAAAACGCGTTCACATCAGAAATGCAAACAGAAGTATTTATAGGTGAGATGCGTGTGTTTGATTTGCATTAAAATACTGTAAATTTGCATTGGAAGGGCCAGAGAACATATTAATATTAATAAAAATATTAACAAATGATGGGATCTCAGCGGTGGCTATATGGGTTTATTACACTATTATTTCTACTTTGGTATGCACTTAAAAGTAATGAACAGTGAAATATTAAACAAAAATGCTTTTAAAAATCCCCAAACATGAGGCTGGGGATTTAGCTCAGTGGTATAAGCACCTGTCTTGCAAGTAGGCAATCGTGAGTTCGATCCCCGGTACCAATAAAAAGGGAAAAAGACCAAAAAAAAAAAAAAAATCCCCAAACAAAACACCTGCTGTCTCTGTCTCTGTCTGGGTGCTTTCCTTTTCTTGGGAGCATCGTGAAGATTGGGAACCAGGTTTGATCATCTCTGCTCTCACAGCACCCAGCTCCCATGGTGTGGCACACGGTAGGTGCTGAAAGGGTTTTGGCCCAGACTGGACACTGCAGCCAGAAAAAGCCTCAGCCGGAACCAGGGAGCTCCTATCTCCCCTGCCCCTAGAGATTTACCTGTAACTCTATCTCCCCCCCACCCTTAGGAATCTACCCCTTGCGCCAAATGTGTGCCAATGAAATACCTGTGCATCTCTAATGGCCCTAGGGCACTACCCTAAGCTTAGGTTACTTATATACCCCCCCACGCCACGTGTCTGCTGGAGAGATCACTGGACTCCAGCAGTCGGGGTGTGTGTGTGTGTGTGTGTGTGTGTGTGTGTGTGTGTGTATGATGTGTCGGTTATCTCTCTCCGTGTTCTCAGAATAAAGGCCCCTTTTGTTTTATACTTCATATCTTTTGGAAATAATCCTAGCAGGTGCTCTATACCTGTGAACTTCATTAAAAGTTGGATGCAGTCTTAAGAGTGGAGTTCCTCCAGAGCACTGTGACCGATAGCCTCTGTTATCTGCAGTGAGCATTCTCCAGCTGGGGCAGAGCGTGGTGGGGGTGGCTTGGAATTCTCACATGGCCACACCTGTACTACAAACTTTTTTTTTTTTTTTAAAATCAGGTACCAGGAATTGAACTCACAACTGCATACTTGCAAGGCAGACGCTAATGCTGTTGAGCTAAATCCCCAGCCCTATATTGCACATCTGAACCCGGGAAAGCTTGGCCCCTGGTTCCAGGGTCCTTGCTTGCTTCCTTTCAACTCTTAACCACATCTGTGATTGTTTCTCTGCTTAGGTTGCTTTGTTCTTGCTTCTTCTCTTTGTTAAACTTCTCAGGAATGGACCAGAAAGACATTCCCCTGAGAACTGAGTGACTAACCTGTCTACCCAAGCCTCCACAGGGCTCTTTTCATTTAAATAAAAGACAGACAGGGCTTACACTAAGAGGATGGAGTTGATCAGTGGTAATATGGACTCTGGTTGGTCCTTAGAGAAGTCTGGGAAGTGAGAAAGTGTCCTTGGGCACTGAGATGATGCCCTATTGTGGCTGTCCTCAATGCTTACACATTGTTTCATTCCTGAACTAAGAATTGGGAGAGGAGGGTAAGATTCACTGCTCAAGACAAGAACATGACCATTCCCATAGCTCAGGATCCTGCGGGGAGGAGTGCAGATAGGAGAGCCAAGATAAATCTATCCTGCAACCTGCTTCCTCATCTACTCAACTCTTCAAGGGGCACAGCCAGAGTGACTGCCTCTCCATAATCTCTGTGATGCCCTCTGTTCCCTTTTCCCCGTGGGAAGGATGGTGCCCCACCCTGGTCCAACAGAGGCCTATTCCTCAAGGACAACCCCAGGTAACATGGGACATCTCCAGTGCTTTCTTCCAACCTTTTCAGCGTTGCCATCCAATGGCACCTCCATCCCCAAACCTACGGGCATCATGTTCTCTCTCCCCCAACATCTGGTCCTACTCTCTAAGGGCAGTTGGTAGGCAGATGAAGGAGAGATGGCCCATAAGACTTCCTATGTGACTCTGCCAGCAGTAGCTGCATTTTACAAGATCCAAAGCTGTATCAGGAGGAAACCCTGCCAGAGGGTTATGATTGAAGGGTCTTCAGAGTGCTCTTAAAAATCATAGCAGAACGGGACTGTGGGTATAGGTCTATGGTAGAATGCTTGCACAGCATGTGTGAAGCCCTGGGTTCCAAGAAAACCAGCCAATCAATCAAACAACAACAGAAACAGGTGTATTGGTTATGTACTGCTGTGGAACAAATTACCATAATTTAACAGTTTTGAAATAGACCCATATATTTTCCCATAGTTTTGTAGATCAGTAGCCTGAACACAGCTCATCTGGGTTCTCTAGCCAGAGCATTACCAGGCTGACACCAAAGTGTCAGCTGCGGCTGAAATTCATCTAAGGCTTGGATACTTCTCCTAAGCTCACTATCACTGGCAGAATTCAGTTCCTGGAATTGTAGGACTGAGGTCTTCAGTTACAGAAAGCTGCCCATGTCACGTAGCCCTTTCCACAGTGTGACAGTCTGTTCCTTCAAGGCCTGCAGGAGATCATCTGTCTGAGGCTTCACCTTCTTTTACAGTCTGGCCCACCGGGATGAACTCCCTTCCTATTAACTCAGTCAGCTGTTGGAGATACTGTTCCAAATCCATTGGAAGCACAGTGGACATGTCCCATCACTGACCATGGGTGTGACACCCATCACATTCATTGGTCCTGCTCAGATTGGAGGGAGGGTGTTGTACGGTTTGTGTGTACCAAGGGAGGACCTTGAGGCTCTCCTAGAACCCTGTCTACCATACAGTGGGACAGTTGCCTACTTGGTCTTTGTCTGAAATACAATCTCATACACCCTAAAAAAATGCGGATATTTGCCTCAGAGGTTGTCCTTTTCTATTCTTGTAGAAATCATGCTAGGAGAAAGAGAATGTTTTAGCTGGGATCTTTCTCTCTGCCAAACTCTGGCATATACCTTGAGGCCTGAAATGGAGATTTGGCCTTGGCCTGGACAGTCGTGTCCTCTGAAGGAATGGGTAGAAGGTGACAGGGACTCATCACTAAACTGCCTCTTTCCCTTCCAATATGTGTCACCTCTTTCCCCCTCCTCAAGCACCATGAGAACTGACAGGAGGCCCAGAATTCACTCTATCTTTCTTTGTCCTTCTAGGGAAATTCAGGCCCAAGAGCATTCTTTTTTTTTTTTTTTTTTTTTTTTTAGTTCTTAAAGTTTCTTCTAAGAAAATAATATCTCAGGGAAAATGAGGAAAAAGAAAGAAAAAGAAAAATGTCTAAAATTATATAAATACACAGGATAGCTAAGATCTAGTTTGTGCTACAAACTCTTTAAGTTCTTTGAACAAAATAGTTAACATTCATAGGATTGAAACAACAGTGCATATTATTGTATGGTGATCTGAGGAACTCTTGAAGATCATTATGTAAAATAACAACCCTAGTTATGCTCCTAACACCTTGTTTGAAGGCCTATATTGTCAGTGTTCTAGGCTCTTTGCAATTGTTGTTTATGTCTTTTTCGTTTTGGTTTTTCTAGGAATTTGTTTTGTTGTTTTGTTTTGTTTTGTTTTGTTTTTCCCTCTAATACAGAAAAGATAGGTATACATGTACTGTCTCATGCATGCGTAGAACTTTTTAAAAGTTTATTAGAATCGATAATATAATGCACGATGAAATGAACAGCTACTTTGAAGAAAAAGAGACACTAAGGTACCCAGTGCTGTGAAATAGCGTCATGCTGTGAAATCCACCTTACTATTATTCTTTGTTCACAGTGATTTTAGTCTGTTTTGTTTTGTTTAATTTCAACATACAAGAAGGTGTGGACAGCTATTTTGAAGAGAATGAGAGACATTATGGCAGCCATTATTGACTTCCCTATAGTCTGGTCTTGAAGACCTAAAATGCCTTGATAATCCTGTTCAGATTAGTTTTATACTATGTTGTTTTGTGTGAATTCATTGTATCTGACGATATGGACAACTATTTGGAAGAAAATAAGAGACATTATGATAGACTGAAGATCTCCGGTGGTCTTGCTTTGAAATTTGTGTCTCTTACATTGTTTTCTTATGATCTGTTTTGTTCTGTTTTGCTGTTTAGTTTTCCCCTCTTTAAAAATAAAATTAAAAAAAGTTTCTCCCAAGAAATGACTTTTGTCACCTCTGCTCGTTTCTTTGGCCAAAACATGTTATATGATCACTCCTTACACCACAGGAGAGGGACTCTGTGAATCAGTCGGTTCTTTTGCTTCTTCTTCCCTCTCTTCTTATCCTTCATCCATTCTTTCAAATGTCACCTGCTCTAGCCACAAAGGTCATATGTATTCTTTCAGTTTTTGGAGGTTTCAGTCCACACTCAGTTGGCTCCAAGGCAGGTTGGCGTGGCTGGGCCACAGTTCATGGCGGCTGCAAACAGCCAAGAGCATTCATTTCAAGTTATGAGATGCTAGTGGCAATGGAGCAAAGGGAGGAAGCCCACTGCCTGAGACGCATGCGACACAGTGAAAGGGTCTGTTCCCTCGGCATGGCACCAGTCTGCGTGGAGGCCGCAGATTGGCTGAAATGCCCCCTAGGAGGCTTCTTCTACTGGTTAACATCAAGTTTCACTGGAGCAGAGAAGAAAATCAGATTTAAAATTCTCATATCTCAGATGCCCTATACTGAGTGTGGTCATTGTGCATGCCTAAATTGTAGCAGCTAAAAATCTGTCCCACCAAGTCCTCCCTAGACGTTAAGCCTCAAGGGGACACTTTGCCGCCCTCTTCATTGCTTTATCCCCACTAGCTGGGCAGTGCTTGGCACAGGGTAGGCATTTAATGAGTATATATTGAAACTAAAGAGTTAATTTCAGGGTTATCTTTGTGAATTTCGAACAAAAAACCTTTGTCATCTGGCTTGAGCGGAGGTCCCACCTTTCTCACCTCCTCCTCTCCTCTCTCCCTGGCATTTCCTGCCTCTGCCCACTCCGTCCTAGCCTGGGAGTTTACCCCAGGGCTTCACTCATGCCAGGCAAGTGCTTTGCCCCTGAGCCAATCCTCTACACCAGCCTCCATCCTTCTGTTTGGGGCTGTGCCAGGACCTGCAGACACCTCACAGGTCCCCCCAGGCTAAGACTCGGCTCCACCTGACTCCTCTGCCTGTGGGCGCTAGGCCAGTCCATGTTCCTACTACCACTGAAATCCTTCCAAAGCGAGTCTCCCCTTCCTCGTCCTGTGAACAATGCCCAACTACTACTCCTCCCCGTACAGTGACCTCTTTGCCCTCTGGCTCCTGCATCCTCTGGCCCTCTGAACTGGGCCTCAGCAGGGTCAGTAATGGCCTGGCCACTGAGTCTCATAGCCTGTCTTAACCTCTCTCCTCGCTGCAGCTTTCTGCGGCTCCTATGACCCCATCTGTCTTGGTTTTCTTGTTCCCATTCAGCTCCTTAACCCTAGACTGTGGCCAGAAGATCCCCACATACATTACTTGCAAGTCATATATGTGCTGTCTTCCATTCTCTACTTGCCTTTTAATTTTTTCACCTACTTTCCTGGACATCCTCCTTGACTCCCATGTTGGAAGTCATTCGAGCACAGCTGCTAGCTGATAATTGATAACTAAATAAGCAGAGAAATTTCTCTTTGTGACCACTCAGACCACACTCCACAGGCTGGTATCTCCTCATCTCTCAACTGCCTTCTCTCAGAGAACCTCAGAGTTGGCACGAATGCCTTCTCCTGGCCTTTCACACCAACGGCCTGGTGGCCTGCCTGCCATCCTTCCCTGCAGTCTACTTCGCACCCAGGTCCTCGGCCTGCTCCGCCCATCCATACTAGACCTCCCGCTGGGGCGCCTGCTTGGCCTCCCCAGCCTCAGTGTCCCCCCCACTTCCTTCGTGCACTGTGGTCCCTTTCCTTCAGGACCTGTACCAATATGTACCACTCCCACAAAGCCGTCTCCATTCAAGCATCTCTTTGACACTGGGTTTTCTCCATGATTCTATTTCTCTCACCCAGCTGTCCCTGTCCATCTTTCCCCTGGCCCCTCAACCCCAACAGAGCATAGGTTATTTGCAACATAAAAGGCTTTGGTCATCCTCAGATGCATGGATAGACCTTGAGCGGTGCTAGCTTGGAGCAACCGCTCACTGAGGGGTTTGGACCTTAGTTAGGGGCTCATTGCCTCTTGTTCCTGTCCTCTTAGCACAACTGTTTCGCTGATGCAGCCTCTGCCCAAGAGTCCGGACCACACAGTTCCACTGTTCCCTCTGTCCTGCGCAGCCCACCTTCGGTGCTCACGGATACCGCGCTGCTCAGAACCCCCTGCGCTCATAAAGGGATCTGCAGAGGCGAGGTAGATCTGCCTGCCTCTGCATCCCTTGTGCCCAGTTCTCTGCCGATCCACAGTTGGTACTTAGTAAATGTTTGCACACATGAAATAAACTGACTCTCTCCTATGCCCCAGGGGAAATAAAAATCCAGTCTCTCTTCCAGAGCCAGGCTCGGAGCCAAATGCTGCATCCTTCCTCCCCGCTGTTTCCTCCAACCACCTTCTCACAGGACTGAGGACTCAGCAGCATCGCAGGGCAGGTCAGCTCCACTTCCCCACCCCCAATCCAGCCAGGCCCACCAGTCCCGCAATCCTGTTCCTAACCAAGGCCAGGCCAGAGAGCCGAGAGTTGGATGTGGGAGGAGGGGGCTCTGGGGCTCCCCAGCCAAGGAACAGCCCTCCTCATTTCTCCCTCACCCATGAATCATGGATAATTGTGGACTCACCTCTTCCCAAGAGAGTAATCTCTCAGATTCTGCCAGAATCACTGGAGGGGGCTAGGGTGGGATGGGGGTGGGTGGCTGGGGTGGCATCTGTCTCTAATGAGCCTCTCAGTATTAATGAGAATGTGTTCCCTCTTTTCAGGGTGCTGCAGCAGCTGAGCCTGCCAAGGGCCGCTAAGCTGGCTCCCGAGTCAGGGAACCAGGATGGGGGCGGTGAGGTGGGGAGGCAGGGTGCCCAGGAGTGTGGCCAGGTGTGCGCAGGGCTTTTAAACGTTAGCTAGGATTTCCCCTGAGCCACAATTTTTCCAGAGAGCACTGTGTCTAATTGTTAGCAAGGCAAATCCTGACTTAAGGGGGCTTGGGGAGTGGGGAGGTCTGTGGGGTTCCTCAGGGAACCTATAGCAAGTGGAGGCTGTGCAGGGCAGGGCTCTGGACCCCCTAGAGCTAGGGGACTGTGTCTCCTCTGTGCCCATCTCGAAGCCCACTGTCAGAGGCATAGTAAGCACTCAGCATGGCAGGGTGTTGATGGCTGCTCTTGGGAATCTCTCCCAAAAGGTAGAGATGGGGCCATACTATGGCTCAGCTGGTACCAAAGTCACAGACAGCCTAGCACGAGCCCAGGGCAGAACAACTGCGCAACGCAGTTCTCTGATGCTGAATGCCATGTCTTCAGCACTTTCTCTGCATGCTGGCACCCTTCTGCTCAGGTGGAAATTTTACCTTGGAGTGGGAAGGAGCCTAGAGACATTCTAATACAACCCTTTGAAATTGAGGTTCAGAGAGGAAAAGTGACTTGGAAATGTAGCCAACCCTGCTCCTTGGGAAGGAGAGTCTGGACCTGAGGCTTGGGCTTGAGAGACCTATTGGGAAGTTGGCTGTTCTCCAGGACACTGTGCCTTCTGCCCAGGACTCTGATTTGGGGAGCAGGCACTAGATTCACTGAGCACGGCATATGTCCCTGGGCTTGGCCAGCAGAGAGCTCTGCAATGGGACAGCCAGGATGGCTTGCTGAGCAAGACTAGCAGAGGATCTGAGCAAGTTTGTAGATCACTCTCTTTATACCCTTGCTATAGCCACTTTCCTCAAAAGCCCCCTAAAGGGCCTTGTGTGCTTTCTTTGTCCTCCCAAGGATTCCTGTGACAGGAAGTGGAGGATTGCAGTGATGCTGGAGGACCTCATCCTGTGGGGAGGGACCCTGAGAGCAAGGAAACTTGCTCCTCCATGAGTGCTCATGAGAGCATTTCCTGAATTCCAAGGGCTGTGCTAATACAGGAGGACAGTGGCAGCCCAAAGGCCGTGCAGGGTGGCATCCGGGCACAGTGCTGCAACTGCTCCCGCTGAAGTGCCCTGGAGGTGTCCACAGCCGTCCACTCAGTCCCACCACAGCCCTGGTACAACCCTGTCTTAATGAGAAGGGCAACTACCAGAGAGCACAGTGTAAGCTACTAAGCACATGCTCAGCCTAGGAGATGCTTGAGCTGAAACCTAAGCGTAGGTAGCAGCCACCAGGTAAAGCAAGATGAAGGGTGGGTGGGGAGTGCTTCCCACAGAGGAGAGAAAGAACACAAGGGTCCAGAGGCAAAGGGTGAGTGAGGATCTGAGGGGGTGGTGACAGCCATGGCTGGACCCCCTGTCTGGGGCTGGTCTCTGGCAGGGGAACCCAGGCAAGCTGGTGTAGTACACAGCAGAAGCCATCCAAGTTGCCCACACATAGGATAGTGTGATTGGTCTGTATTTTGCAGCAGTGACTCAGCTATAGCTTCATTGCAGGATGGGGTTGGAAGAAGCCTAGCTGAAGCCAGTGGGAGGTTCCCCAGGTGGCATAAGCAAGAGGCGAGAATGGCCTGGCCTTGGGCAAGAGAGGGTGGGATTGGGAAATTAGTTGAGATGTAGCCTCCGTGGGGGTTTGGGATGGAAACAGTGTGGAGGAGAGAGAAGAATCATGGGAAACACTCTGGCCTGGCTGAGAGAGGAGGCTTGGCAGGTGGGGAGACTGGGAGACAATGACTGTCCAGGCTGAGGACTGCAGGACCCAGGTACTGAAGGATCGCTGCATCAGAACACTAACCCTCAGGTCTCCAGGAGACCTGATGACTGTCAGGTCTGGCCCAGTGTTATGGTTTGTGTCTAGATGTCCCGCAAAGTCTAATGCAGTCATGAGGAGGATGCTTTTCAGAGGTGGCTGAAGCTAGAGCTTGTGACTGATTTATGGTCTAATGCTGGGATAAGGGTTGTGAGTGCTGCACCCACCCTAGGGGGGTGCACACCCACCCTAGGGGGTGACCTGCATACAAGATAGGAAATGGAAAGAGGCTTTTCCACTCCCCCTCTCTTACTGCTTTTGCTGTCTTTTGCTGCCATGAATGGTTGCCCCTTGCTGTGTGCCTTCCTGCCTTGGAGCCAGCTGATGGTGGATTGAAATCTGTACAAACTGTAAGCGATAATAAACCTTTCCCCATTTAACGTTGGATGACCAGTATTTTGTCTCAGCAATGAGAGAAAAGTAACTAAGACCCCCGGCTTTACACTTATCCCCCCCCCCCCCGCCAGTGTCACTAAGTTATTTCTCCCTCTTGGATCCTCTGGGCATTTTTGGATCTGTGCCTTTGCACTGGGGAGACAGAGATTAATCAGTCATATGCTCTGCCTTCAAGAAGGAGCCATGTCAACAGGGAATGCTAATGCAAGGCCAAGGCGCTATGACAGGGAATGACATCTTAGAGAAGGGGTACCCGTCGCAACATTGGCAGCATCCGCAGAGGGCACTGCCAGAGAGGAGGAAACTGACAGAGAAAGACCTTACAGTGTGAAGCACAAAGGCAGGAGTGCTAAAGAAACCTGAGAGACACAGACAAAGACAAGAGAGTACAAAGCTCCAAAGACACTAACCAGGTGTCTAAAGCCCAGAGAAGTTAAGCAGCTTGGCCAAGGTCACACAGCTCACTGGCAGAAAGAATGAGCTCAGCCCTCATCAGTGTGTGTTATGTTTTCAGTAACTTTTTTGCTCTAGCCTTCCTGATCCCTTTTTGCTCTTTCTCCTACCCCCAGCTTGTGCCTGGCCTAGAAAAATACACAAGTCAGGGGCAGTAAGGTATTTCCTAGGGCTGGACTTACTTGGTAAGAGGATCTAACTGACCCTTGACAGATTCTCACTTTCCTTGGCCCAATCCAACTAGCCTAGCATGCAAATCTACTAGGATCATATCTATGTGCGTGCGTGTGTGTGTGTGTGTGTGTGTGTGTGTGTGTGTGTGTGTGTATAAGACAGGGTCTTGCTATGAAGTTCAGGCTGGCCTTGAGCTCACTTTGTAGCCAAAGCTGATCTCAAACTTGCAACGATCCTGTCTCCGGACCGCTGGGATTATAGGCATGTGCCACTATGGTCTGCATCATATCTATTTTTTTTTAAAATCTTTTTATCGGTACCGGGGATCGAACTCACGACTGCCTGCTTGCAAGGCAGGTGCTTACGCCACTGAGCTAAATTCCCAGCCCCCATATCTACTTTTAAATAAAAGTCTATAGAATCAGTCAAAATCCTCTATAACTCTCAATATCCCATTCAGCCTGTCAGAATTAAACCAATTTTTTCCCCCACACCAAAGCACACTGGGTGTTATGGATTTATTGTCCTGAAATGGAACTACAGTCCCTTTGAGTAGGAGGGAGAAAGCATCTTTTTTCTTTTTGGTTCTCTTCTGCTTGGTTGCTTTTGAGTATAATAGTTACTAAAGAAAAAAAAAGATACTCAAGTTGGGTGTGGTGGTGCACACCTGTAATCTCAGCTACTTGGGAAGCTGAGGAAGGAGAACTGAAAGTTAGAGACCAGCTCAGTAAGACCATATCTAAAGATTAGAAAATAAAAGGGCTAGGCATTCATTTACTTCTCCCTGAGTTCAATCACCAGTACAGAGCACACAAACCAGAACACAATGAAACGAAACAAAACAAAACAAAAGTTACTCAATGAGCTCTTAAGATGTCCAAGATGCTCTACTCGATGCTGGAGAAAGGCTACAAAAATGAATATGAGATGGGTCCTCAAGGAGCGGAGACATCTGGGCCAAGTGTGCCCCAGATCATGGCTGTGTTTAGTGGGCCATCACCCAGTAATAAAGAACTCCCACCGCACAGAGAGAGCATTCTACATTTTCAATTGTTAAGTAAGCTAAGATCTCCCCCTGACAGATTTCCTACTGTTTTGCCTAGAATGATGGAGGTCATGCATCTAATTATTTTTCACATGCCAGCCCTCTCATGTTTAAAATGTGTTTTCCTGTCTACATTTTCTTCATCGGACCCCAGCTCATCCTGCTCTCCGTTTTTCAGAGACCTCAGAGCACTCATTTTTCCCCCACAGAGCAGTGCCCAGAACCAAGCCTGGGCACTGCCCCCAGGAGTCAGGATGGACGCCCAGGCCGCTGGCTCCCTTGTCCTGCAAGGTCTGCTGCAGACACTGCTCACACTCAGTGGACACCACGGCCTTTCCCCCCGGACAAAGCTGCTCATACCAGTGCTGCAGACTTTTCAAAGCTCAGAGTGGAGCTTTAAATTTCTTTCTATTTCATGTGACTTTTTCTACTGAAACTATTGCTTTGCCCTGAGAAGTTTCTGTTTTTGTTTAACCTTGGACTCTGCCTTGATAGGTACCAGCTGTTCTCCAGCTATACGTCCTCAAAATGTTTGGAAAATGGAATTTTCATGCCTTTATCTGTCCTGTGCCTTAGCAAAGCTGCTGCCCTGGACAGGACCAAGCACAGTGTTCCACTTGCCTCACCAAGAATTGGCACTGATAGGAAAATCGATGGGGTTTTTGGTTTTTGTTTGTAAATTCTGCTTGCGAACAATCCCCCTGACTCTGATGTATTGGCATTTAATAGCTATTGTCCACCTAGACACAATGGGAGACTTTGTCAAAATGCTTTACTGAAAGCCAGAAACGCAGTGCCTGCCCTGATTCAGGATAATAGCTTGGCAATAATGCCCGAAGAAAGCAGCGAGGTTAGTTTGGTTCTCTGTACTGGTAGCCTTCTCACCAGTTGCCTTTCCCTACAGGCCACCTTGCCCACTGGGCCACAGCGCAGTTTCTTTAGGACTTACACAGTCTAGAGCCAGAAGATCATGGAGGGAACATAAGATGTAACTTCCAGTTTTGCTGACGCCCAGAGTGCTTCGCTACTATTCCCAAAGCCACAGACAAGGACTGGACATCCACATCTCCAAGTTCAAACCTATTTCTTAATACCTTCACATAATCGTGTCTCTTTCTAAACATGGGCACACACACGCCCCCCACACACTTGCTTTCCTTTGGGTCCTTTTAACTGTCCACTAAGACTTGGCATGGCATTGTGTCTGTATCAGTTTCATGTGGGTTCCAAGACTGAGCCCTTTCTTCTAATCCCTCTACAGTATCTGTGCTCCAAAAGGGACCCTGGGACTTCCCCAGCTGGATTGGTCTGTGGAACGCTCATCTACCTGGAAGTGACCATCCACTTTGCACCACTTGCGCCCATGTGTGTGTCTAGGCATGGGACTCCCCTTCCGGTGTGTACGGTAGCTATGCTGTCTCTTCTAGGCCAAGTGGAAATGGGATCTTCCTTAGTGAGCAGCGGCTGACTGCCTGGGTGTCTGTGGGGCATTAAAGTCTTTCTACTCATTGTGAGGGGTCAGAGTCCTCAGACACACTGCCCAAGGGCCTGGCAGTACAGCAATTTGGCCCCTGCAAGATGAAGGACCTGAATGGGAGGGTGGCAGTGGTCTGCAGCCCAGTCCTTGAGGAATGGACCTTCTGGAAAGGGAGATTAGGTAAGGAAGGATTGGAAAGGGAGTCAAGGTAGCTTGACTCAGAGTTATGGCAAGAAAGCTGAGCCTTTCCGCGGGCCAGAAGAGGTGGTCCCTGGTACCCTGGACAGCCCCCAACAGCAGGGCCCCTCACCACCCTCCCCGCCCCCCTAGGAGGCCCTGGGTACCTGTTTATTCTTTAGGTCAAGGGAGAGTTCGTAATCAGAGGCGCCAGGGGTGTGGGAGCAGGGTGCCGTTGCCAGGGCAGGCTGCTGCTGGCCGGGGGAGGCCGCACGATGGGGGCCAGCCCTGGGGGAGGCACCCCCCGCCCCCGGCCGCTCCTCCTCCTCCTGGAGCTCCTGGGCTTGAGCCTTCGGGGCATGGGCACTGGGTCTGCCGGCTGCCACTGCGGAGTCCTCCATGCCCCCACTGGCCTGGGCACAGGAGCCGTCACTGTGAACAGAAGGCAACGGGGCTCGGTTGGGGGAGGGGGCATGGGCAGCATGCTCCCTGAACTTTCTGGGCTTTTCCAAAGATGGTAAGTGGTGGAGATGTCCCTTGAATTTCCTCTTAGGGATGGGTTGTGATGGCAGGGGGGAGCCCCAGGCCAAGGGTGAAGCTGAACTTGGGGAGGACATCAAAAATAGAGGGAAGAAGTGGTCCTGGCTGGAAGCTGTGCTCAGCTCCTCTACTCAGAAACAGAAGGAGAGTAGTTAAGAGTGATGGTGAATCCAGTTGTGCCTCTTCTCAGGTGCATGATGCTTGGCAGGTCACTTCACTGTACCTTAGTTTCCCTATCTATGAAATGGGCATAAGAATAAGACCTACTGCATAAGGACTTTGGAAGAGTTAAAGTTCTTGAAATCTCTGGGTTTCCGATCACTACCATGCACTGGTGTTAAGTACTGCAATGCTCTGTGGTCTGGCCATTGGCTAAGGAGTCTAAGAGGTGCCCATCTCTCAGGGAACTGGCTCCATCCCAGTGAGCGATACTTAAAGACTAGGCATAAGCCGCTTGAGGCCAGGGAGCCGCAGCGTTGGGCTGTGTCTGTGGGAGGACTCTTTCTCCCTTGAGTTAGGGAGGCCTCTACCCTCCCCTGATCCCTTCTGGACTCCCGTGGAGTCACCAGCAGGCTGAGCAATGGCTGCTGCCCTTGTGCCTACCCTAGGGAGCCAGCTCGTAGCCAGGAGCAGCCACAGTCCAGCCCTGCTACACTCAGGGTGCCTGTGTCCCCACCAGTCCCTGAATGTTGCCCTTTCCCCAGGACCCAGTGCTGAGCCACCTCCTCCAGGAAGCCTTCCCAGAGGACTGTGGCAGCATTAGCGCCTGCCCCTAGAGGGTCACCCTCTGTTTCACAAAGAAGGAGCAGCATCATGGTGAACAGCATGGCTCAAATCCAAGTCCCAGTCCTATACTCTGTGGCACTGGACTAACTGCTTGGTTTCTGAGTTTCAGTTTCCTCATCTATGTAATAGGTGTATTCGTGACTACTTGATGCAGTTACAGTACAGAGTCCACATGTAAAGGTGTTCAGCACAGAATAACAAATGAACTCATTCCTCTTTCTATGCCTTCCTAGAGCCCAGATTTGCTTTTATCCCCACCTCTCCAGTTAGTGCTAGGCAAATGACAGGTGCTCTAACAATACTTTGTGAGTGAACTGAAGAAAACCCCAGGCCTTGGGAGTGCCTCTACGGCAGACAGATAGAGAAGGTCAGGCCTGGAAGGAACAGCCCACCTCCAGAAAGATGCCCCAGGTCATGCCGGAGAAGGACCTCTTCCCTGCTGCCCTCAACCTTGGGGTACACAGAGGTGATCTGCCTGGAGCTAGGATAACCAAGGGTGAGGTGAAGAACTCTCTTTTCTCAGCCTCCATCTGTGCTCGCCTCTGTGCTCCCACAAAGGACAGAGAGCCCCTGGGCTGGCCTGAACCTCAGGGACCTTCACTGCCACTCTGCGGTTATTTCCTCCACCATTTTTTTGTGTGGCCACCAATCATGGTGTCTGATTGCATATAGCTCTAGATATCTTTGATTTTTTTCACTAGCATCATTAGAACATTTTTTTGTTATTTGTTTTAAGATCTAGCTTCAACTCCCCTTGCTCTACGGTGTGCCTTTTCTTCCCCTGACCACATGGAAAAAATCCTTCTCCATTACTGGCATAACTTGCATCCAGCGTCTGGAGGGAACATCCAGTCTCCTCTCTTCACTCCGTCTCTTCCCCAGCCTGCCTGAGGTACTGATGTGCGGTTTCTGAAGCTCTTTAGGGAACTGATTACTACTCAGAGCTACAAACACCTTTAGTAACAGCCTTCTGCTTTCTTTGATTGCTGGACCCTGTCTGGCACACGGTTCCCAGGAGTTGATGCTCCAGAGCTCTGCCACGACGATGGAGGTTGTTGCATGAACGCTTAGCATCATTGTTCCTTGGATAGGACCATCACGAGGCACATTCTGTACCATCTTCCCAGAGCTCCAGTGGCATCAAGCCCCAGCTAGTCAAAGCGGCAACCTGATAATTAATGGACGCTGTCGGCTTCCTCGAAACTTGCACCTCATTTCCCCACTCCCTGGGGGTACTTCTAGCTGTCTTCTTGTCCTGGAGAAACTACTTGCACTAAAATAAACCAGACTGTTGTAAAGGCCTTTGGCATGGGCCTGCATTTGTGGGCCTCTTTGATCTTGGTGGCCTCCACACTGCCAACTCCAGCATGCACACATGCACCTGGTGCACACACGTTCACACACATGCCACACTTCCCGCCGGCTCTGTGGCTTTGGGTAATTTGTGCCCTCCCCACGTCAGTTTCCTCACCTGTTACTCGAGGGGAGCTTGGATTCCACCGCTGAGGCCAGCACCCAAGGCCCACAGCCCACAGCTCGGGAACCTCATTCCCCTCCTGTCTGTCTACGTGCACAGGCACCTGAGAGACTGAATCCTCCAGGTGTAAGACGAAAAGGTGTTGGGAGAAGGTCTTGTCCTTGTTTCCCTTGGCTGTGTGGTAGGAAGTGGCCACGGAAGCCCCACAGGGCTCTGTCCAATAAGGCTCAAGTTTAAGATTATATAGTGGAAGGCAAAGACCATGCATTCTGGCATCAGAAGCCCAGGTTAGAAACCTGGCCTGCTACTTTCTATGCGGGCAAATTATTTATCCTTTTTGCAGTTCTATTTCCTTGCCTGCAAAACAGATATTTTAGTAAGTACTTTGCAAACTTGCCGTAAACAGATAAAGAATAATAAAGCATTTATAGCACCTGGTTCAGCGCCCAGCACACAGCAGGCCATGGTGAATGGGGACAGTGTAGTGGTGGTTTAACGTTTGCTGAGCTAAAACCCTACAGCAGGTATTCCCAAAGGAATTCCCAGAAGAATGTGGAGAATTCTGAAGTGGGGGGCTCTGGGATGTGGCCTTCCTGTCAACCTTCACAAAACTGAAACAACCAGTTTTTGCCTTGGAGCTTGCAGCTCGCAGCCTTTCCCAGACCGCAGCTGGATTGGCTTCCAGAGACTTCCTCGCGCCTAGTTTCATCCTCTGACAAGGTCACGGTCTTGAGTGGCGCAGACTCAAGGATCCTGTTGCCTGAGGAGAAAGTGCATGCTCACTGCTTATAGCCAATGCCCACATTGGCTATACCCTCCAGTGTGGGCATTTCCTGGGTGGGCACTGCCTCAGGGCTTGCTGTGTGGAACTGTGCTGTGGGCACTCAGTCAGGGAGCGGGGTGGGCTGGGTGTGTGGAGCCTCTCTTCAGTGCTGAGCATCCATAGAATGTTCTCCACCTGGTTTTTTCCCCTCTCTGTTTCCTCAGTACAAATGGCCTGAGGAAAAGGCTGGGCTCTCCTAGGGAGGACCGACTACTGCCACTCCCACAGCCTATTGCTTGCACTCGGAGCATCATCCTCCCAAAGCCGGGGCTGTGTCTTTTCAGCTTCTGGAAGTCGCTGTGCTGAACGCTCATGCAGCTGTTGTCCCTAGTGGGTGTTACTGCAGGCAGCCTGGATGTGGACAAACACTCCATGGTGGGACTCATTCATTCACTCACTTTGTGCCTTACGGCCCTACTTGAAGTCTCTGGAAGGGACCCTGGTAATCTTTGCTTTCTGGGGCTACACATCCACCTGCTGTAACAAATTCTTAGGGTGACAATTCACAGCCTGGAGAAGTAGGGTTATCGATGACATGTGAGCAATGAGCTATCACGAGGTCATCCAGGCTGGGACACCCATCTGAGACGGCAAAAAGTAAAATGTGGGTGGCATCAAAACGAGGTGGTTCTGAGACAGTTGTGTGCCTACGTGCCATTAGACTGACACATACACGGGGGCCTGGGGCACCTGTACAAGAACACAGGATTCAAGCACGGGAAGAGAAAAATCTTTGAGAAATTGGGAATAAGCAGTTGCTCACAGGAGCGTCACATGTGCTTAGAGCTGAGTGGCCTGTGCGATGGAACTGAACCTGAGAGGAGGGGTCCTAGGGGGGACTCTGGTGCTTAGAGGGATGCTAGGAGCCTGCAGGGTGTGCCTGGTCTAGGCTGCATTCTTCTGTCATCTCCCCTATCAGAGGCAATCCCGGCTCACACCTTCACGACCCCATGTAAGAATCTTTTTCCATTTCCCTTTCCAGCCTCGTCTCCTCCGAGCAATGCATGCACGCTGTCCACGCTGTCCCCAAGACTGCCAACCTCTCTCAGACCACAACACCTAGCACATGATGTCTTCCATCTGAAATGCTCCCCCTTTCCATGCCCTCTTCCACTTACCCCTTTCTCTATCTGCTCAGTTCTTTCAAGGCTCACTTGTTGCTAGGTGTAGTGGTGCAAGCTTGTAATCCCAGCACTCAGGGAGGCTGAGGCAGGAGGATCACAAGTTTGCATCCAATCTGAGTAATTCAGTGACTTAGTGAGATCCTGTCTCAAAAAAAGTGCTGAAGATGGAGCTCAGTGTGAAGGCCCTGGATTCAATCCTCAGTACACACACACACACACACACACACACACACACACACACACACACAGACACTTGCTGGCTGCAGGAATAGCCAGTCCCACCCTCTTATGTACTCTAATGGTTCTTGGCACTTGCTTCTCTTTGGTAATAACCACCTGCTACTCTTAATTACTCACTAATGAATGTGTCCTCCCCCAACCTGTGTCATGCAAACCTTTTTATCACAGGTGCCAGCACAGTGGGTTGATCTATATGACATGTTTGACAAATGTTGAACAAATGGCTGTCTGGATGAATGGCTTGCTGACTGAGTGGCTGACTGGATGGAAGGGTGGAGAAGTGGATAGGAAGATGATGAATATATAGGTGGGTAGGTGGATGGATAGATGAATAGATAATAGGTATCAAGAGTTAATCTCTACTACTTTCTCAAGGGCAGATTTAGTTAAGTACCACCCAGACTGTCCTCCAAGGAAGGATGCCGGGAGACCAGACTGTTCTTCAGCGATCAATCAGCTCCAGCAGAGATCTCTGTCTCTGCTACAGACAGTTTTCCGGCCCAAGTCACGCCCTCCCCAGCCCCATCTGCCTCTAATGGCTGACAGAGGAAGACTATGAGGGCTCAGCCATTTGAGTCTTGTATTCTCCATCCAGACCTCACAGTGCACTAGCCAACTCTGCCCTTGGGTTTTTGCACTTGGACTTTCCTTATGCTGTGTCTCTCCATCTCTTCCGAGGGAATTGATCCCAAATGCATCCCTGGCAAAAAGCTGACACATTGAGCTCAGAGACTGCTTTGTGGAGAACCAAATCTCTAGCAGATGTACAGCACTCTCCTTCTCCTCTCCTTTCCTCTCCGCTGCTCTTCCCTCTTCTCCTGGCCTTTTTAATACAGTATGGAGGATGGAACTCAGGCCCTTGTGCAAATCTAAGCAAACGCTATGACACTGAGCTCCACACCCAGCCTCCCTTCCTTTATCTGGATGGGTGGGATCACACTGGTGTCCCTGCTCCCAGATAGATAGAACTCATCTGGGTTCCAGATACATTTGCTGAAAGCTTTGGGCTCTCTTCTTAGCAAAGTGCACGAGCCAGATTTTTACTTCAGAAAGGTTCTTACCCTAAATAAATTACTATACAGTTCTGGCGGTGGTCTACCACGGCGGGAGGCCTACCACTTCCCGCTTCTTCTTCCTCAGTCCTAATTGCACCTCCCCTTCCCGTTTGCCGCACAGAGAAGTCCAATCAGGTCCTCTCACGTCATCAATGCCCGCCCCATGCACCACTTCCGATCATATAACCCTTGGCTTCTCTGTATCAGGCCAAAAGAGATAGCCCAGCCGCCATGGGTTGTGTGCTCCTTTCCACGTCCTCAACCCAATAAACCTGTTCATTTTGTACCTTTTGCTTCTCTATTGCAGAGAACAGAGAATTGCACAGAATACTCTAACAACTTTTACATCAGGGGCTGCACAGACACCATCCAGCCTAGGTTACCAACACTGTTACGGAGCGGTAATCACAGAGGACCTTGCATTTGCTGAGAACTGTGCCACAAGTATAGGTTGCTTTGGCCACACAGAGAACAAAGTTTGTACTAAACACCACTGAGCCTTTCAGAGACAGGTCAGCATTATCCTGAGAGCTGCTAGAAACCTTATTCAAAAGGAAAGAGAGCTAGAGTGAAGTGAACTCACCAGTTGGTAGCTTACTAGTTTGGTAATCTTGAGTAAGATACTCAACTTTTATGCACTCAGTTTCCTCATCTGTAAAATGAACATGCAAATATCTCCTTTTCCAGGACCATGGTGGAGAAGGAATAGTCAGTCTTTCTGCAGAGGAGTGGCCCACAGGGCATGGACCTAGCAGTGTCCACCAGCATCTGTGCTGATCTAGCCCTCATCAGGGAGCTGACTCAGGGCAGTGTGCCTCCTCTTGGCTCCCAGCAGGCCCTGTTAGGCTGTGTGTTTCCCAGTGCCAGGAGCTGGAGGGAACAGGGGCCACTGAAGAGCTTCATGAGAGCCCAAAGAGAGATTGGGGAAGAAGAAGGCTGGGGTCTAAGCCCACTGCTCTTCCCCCAGTGGCTGGCTCTGGTGGCAGCCACTGGCACAGAGTTGGGAGAGGGGGATGAAGAGGTATTGGGAGGCTCGGCCTCTGCTACTGGCAGGGGTGGCTTGTGGAGGCCAAGGGTGTGGGCTGCTCCCCACACCATGACTGGTGCAGAAAGTACGGAAGATCTTGCAAGGGGCTTTGAGGGCTGAAGGTGTTATCAGGTGGAAGGACCCTGCGGAGAGTGGGGCGATGGCCCTCGATTATCCCAGACTCCATCTACCTTCTCAAAGTTTTTCTGGACAAAGAAATGATGCATTTTCGAGACAAATACTAACCACATGCTTCACATTCCCTTAAGATTTTTCAACCTTTACTAAAACACTTCACTTTCTCCTTTCTCTGAGTCAGTGAGGTGATATTAGATGTCAGAATTAGATGCCAGAGTTAGTGACAGGACAAAAAGCAAAATCATACCAGGCACCGCAATACACACATGTAATCCTAGTTACTCAGGCTAAGATGGGAAAGTTGCACGTTCGAGTCCAGCCTGGACAGTTCAGTGAGACCCTGTCTCCAAATAAAATTTAAAAAGGGCTGAGGATATGGCTCGCTTGCTAGCATGCACAAGTTGCTGAAGAAAGAAA